TGGTGTTGTAATTTCTTGGTCGTTTCCTGTAAGTGGCTGACACATTAGTCACTTATAGAAATATTTGGTTATTTCTTTAGTGTATAATAATGAATAGGTGAAATAAAAATCACTCTTTTATAATCTGTTCTAGATGCTTTTGGTTAAAGATAGGTGTTTGTATGATTGAACAGATGAAATAGAAATGAGGGAATGCAGTAAATAATCTAACTTATATGGGCTGTGCTCAATTGGGTGTCCATTTATGGATTAAAAATAGGGACTTGTATATGCAACTGTAAAATTAATCTCCAGCTTGGAGTGTTATAATGATTTATGCAGGTAGTTTAATGGTAGACTTGATATGCTATGAACTATTTTATGAACTTTAGATGAAAAACAGAGTTTAGGCCTTTCTTCTGATTGTATGGTGATTTGAAAATTTTGCAGTGGTGCAGAAGATGTTGCATTGATAGAGTATGCACGCCTAACAGGACGACCATTCAGAGTGTTCAGTCTTGACACGGGCAGGTTAAACCCAGAGACATACAAGTTCTTTGACACAGTTGAGAAACATTATGGCATCCACATCGAGTACACGTTTCCCGACTCAGCCGAAGTTCAGTCTCTAGTTAGGAGCAAAGGGCTCTTCTCGTTCTACGAGGATGGCCACCAGGAGTGCTGCCGTGTGAGGAAAGTGAGGCCCTTGAGAAGGGCATTAAAGGGATTACGTGCCTGGATCACCGGTCAGCGCAAAGACCAATCCCCTGGAACTAGAGCTGAAGTCCCGGTTGTTCAGGTAGACCCTTCGTTTGAGGGGCTGGATGGCGGGGTTGGAAGTCTGGTGAAGTGGAACCCTGTGGCGAATGTTAACGGAAATGACATATGGAACTTCCTTAGAGCCATGAATGTGCCTGTGAATTCTCTGCACTCCCAAGGTTACATCTCTATCGGATGCGAGCCGTGCACCAGACCTGTCTTGCCTGGTCAACACGAGAGGGAAGGTCGGTGGTGGTGGGAAGATGCAAAGGCCAAGGAGTGTGGTCTTCACAAAGGTAATCTTAAAGAAGAAACCTTGAATGGGGTTGGGAATGTGAGCATCCTTGGAGAGGAAACCCCAGCTGAAAAAGACATTTTTGATACCAAGAATATTGTTACCTTAAGCAGGCCAGGAATTGAGAACATGTTGAGAATGGAAGAAAGGAAGGAGCCTTGGCTTGTTGTTCTATATGCACCATGGTGTAGATTCTGTCAGGTAAATTTCTTTCAAGTCATATCATCCCACACATTGTAAATATAAATGTCTCTTCTACCCCCTTTCTCTTCTACTTAGTTTAGAAATATTTTTACCATTTTTGATTTTTTTGATGTGTAAACTTTGTATTAAAACTAATAAAAAATGTTAATTTGCAGGGCATGGAGGAATCATATGCTCAACTGGCAGAGAGATTAGTGGCGTCCGGGGTGAAGGTAGCAAAGTTCAGGGCAGATGGGGAGCAGAAGGAATTTGCAAAGAGAGAATTGCAGCTTGGGAGCTTCCCAACAATAATTTTCTTTCCCAAACATTCCTCACATGCTATAAAGTATCCATCAGAGAGGAGGGACGTAGATTCATTGCAAGCGTTTGTGAATGCCCTGCGGTGAAACTGTGGCGTTTGTTTGTATAATAATTGTAAAATTTGTATTGTTATTTTATGTAGCGCTTGTTTGGTCAGGCAGCACCCTTTCAAGTTTCAAGCATGATCTCTGGAATAATTCTAAAAAAGGGGGTTAATCCAAGTATTATGGAGTATCTTTGGTATTGCTATGGATGGTATTTGGTGTACAATCGTTATTATCTTGCAGAACCTCGCAGATTTTTTTTTTTTTGAAATAAAAATTCATAAATTTTTATGACCTCAAAAGTCAAAACCATCATCTGCTACAACAAGCAAATACAACTTCCAAAATCATAAACCGAACTCCTCACTGCAACAAACTCTAACCATGCAATGGATTCTTTCTTAAGCTTAGCAAGCTGTTGCCCGACAACACCAGCTTACTTGATCTTTGCTAGCATCAGCTTGAATCAGGCAATAATCTTATTGCCTGACAACCCTTTTCTTCTGAACGATCAACTTCTTTCCCCAAGTGCTGCTTTCCCATTTTCCGTTCACAATAGCCTCCTCCATAGCAGCAATAAGAGTTCTCTTTTTTGGAACCCTTTTGATGTCAATCTTGATGTTTGTGAATTGTGAGAGAAAGTATATTGAAGTTTATGTGGCTTCTAACCATGTCAGGCGCATCGACAAGAGCTCTGTTATGGTCTATCACATCAACAATGACGACAATTTTACCATACTCCTTGCCGTAGTTGACGATGACAACATAGATTTTTTCTCCAATTGAATTTCCATTAACATTAGACCATCCACATTGATGATCTTCAACTTTATGGTTTTTCATGACTTATTATTGTCATGTCACCTCCATATAAGATAATTTCAAATAATCTCCAAACCAATAAATTTCTCCTCATTCATGATCTTAATTTACCTTGGATAGGAGCATGAACATGCACGAACTACAAAGCTAGTTATCACCATAATTATGAGTATATGCCTACAGAACAATAATAGTCTTAATTTACCTTGGATAGCATCATGAGCATGCATGAATTATTATTGCAATAATGATCAGAAGTGGGCAAGTGGTGGATACAGAACAATAATAGTCGTAAAAAGGGTTTTAGGGATCTTAAATGACTCCCGCTTTGTATACATGCCACCACGCCGATCAAAACGTCTATGTATAAACGATCTGATTGGCGTTTTATGAACAAAATCGGTGTTTTATGAACAAAACCAATTTCGACACAGTCAATGTTATTTATGTGTCACATGCAATTTAAATTGTTTGTATGGACACAATTTAAATTGTCCGTATATAGACAATTATCTTTACAGGCAAATGGAAATCATTTTTCTTCATAAGACGCCGGTCAAACTGTCTGTACACAAACAATTTGACTGGCGTGTAAACCGGCTTGTACAAATTGTTGTGTACAAAAGGAATTTTCCACTTAAAATTTAATTGACAATCGGACAAAACCCTAAGTATAAATGTTAAACACAAGTTATTATAAATAAAGGTGCTATTGTACTCGCTATAATTAAGAGGTCACATTGTTTTAAACAATTTGTAATTTTGTTATAAATACATATTATTTCACCTTTGTTTCAGCAGATTAATCAAATTTTAGAAAAATCATAACACTTGACCGAAAAAACATGAATGAAGGACACATATACTAGTATTACCTATGCCGTTGTGTAATACTACCTCCGTTCTTTAATATTAGTCCTCTTAGGCTTTGACACGGGTTTTAAGAGGAAAGTAGTAGGGGTAGTGTAAAAGGTGTAATGAGTAGTGGGTAAATGAAAAAGTAGGAAAGAGAAAGGGGTAATGGTAATAAAAGTTGGAGTATAAAGGTATATTTAGTAAAGACTTTCCTTAAATGGAAAGGAGGACAAATAAAAAAAACGTCCCAAAAAGTAAAGAAGAACTAATAAAAAAGAACGGAGGGAGTACAAAAAAGTGATTACTTCTCTGTTTTTTCAAAGAATATGACTAATCTTTTGTTTAATTAGTTCATCTATCTTTCATTGTAATTTGCTACGTATTAATTTATATCAAATCTTTGCCCTAGCCCCCCCTTCCCTACACATGCACGGTCTTGATAAGATCCGTCGACGGAAAAGTTGCCGGAAACTGCCACTAGAAAAGTAGCCGAATTTTTTTTGCTGATTTTTTTTCTTTTTTCAAAAAATCACTAGGAAAAGTCACCGATCTTTTTTATGACGGTCACAATGACATGTGTTGAGTTTAATCCAACACGATATAGTAAATATAGATATAATTTGGTATGAACACGCGATCTTTACGTGGAAACCCGAAAGGGAGAAAACCACGAGACTTTTTAGGCTAATGTCCAAGCCCTCTCATTTTCATTAACCTCTCCTCACCATTAATAAAGTCTTGCAAGCTAGCTAGAAAGGAGGAAGTAGAAGCTAAAAGGGGATGGGGGGCTTCACTGGGCCGAATGGGCTGAAACAAACCTGATAGTCTGAAACGGGCTTCACTGGTCGGGCTCCGTACTATGTAAAGTCTTGGGCTTCTGAACAGTAATAGACCGAGATAATATACCCCAACAACTTGTTTCACCACGGCAGTGATATTCTTAACTGATGTTACAATTTGATGGTGACATTTTTAGGGGTATAATGCACTAAACTCCCTCGTGAAATATGAATTCGATACATTAGCCTCTTGTGATTTAAAAATGCATCAGAACCCCCCGTGTTATAGTCATTCATGCCAAAACTCTTTCTTTGAATAAATTTAATTGCCAAAACAATGAAAAAAATTATATTTCTTGTATAATTTAGAAATTTGGACAAAATTGCTTGCATATCCAATCATATTATTAAGAAAAGTGGTTTCAAAATTGTAAAATTTGTTCTTGGATGGAGTTTTGTACATGAATAATTAAAACACATGAGAATTTGAAGCATTTTTTAAATTACAGGGAACTAATGCGGCGAATTCATATATAATCAGAGTGTTTGGTTCATTAAACCTCATTTATTAGTTACATGTGACATGAAAATTACACGAAGTATTTGTCAATTTGTGAAAATGGTCATTTTTCTTAAATTGACCTGAATTTGGTCATATTTAAGAAAAATCCCAAAAACCTTGTTCTTCCGTGCCATGATTAGTTTTAAGCTTTTTGTGTCCACCCGAGTGGTATGAGTGTATGACCATTACGACTCTGTTCTTGACCGAGAAATAACTACATACGAGTAATAAAGTTAGGTTGATCACGAATTGGAAATGCTTGAGATAATTGGAATTTGGATTGAATATTGTTGACATTTGCATTACGTTGAGCATCGACTTAAGCATTGTTAGTGCAATGAACAATTAAAATATGTTCCTACCTTTCACCTTCATCCATCAGGATTTTCAAGCCCACAAATTAAACATCTCATTCTCTGATCTATATAAACATCAGCCAGGTTAAGTATGATACATTCCATATTTGCATGCAATTAAGTGCATATTCTCAGAAGATCATCCGAAAGAAAGTACAAAATGACTTCAAAAGTAGTGTTCTTCCCTATACTAATCCTTTTGGCCGGAGGAGATCTTGTTTTTAGAACAAATGCTAGGCCTAGTCCGGACGATGCTGCTGATTTAGAGAAGATAGGTTTCCATGATGACCAGAAAACCTTCTTCCACTACAAATATGGGTTTCCTCCCTACTATGGGGGAGGTGTGGGAGGAGCAGGTGGAGGGTCTGGTTTTACGGGAGGCCCGGGTTTCGGTGGAGGTGGCGCTGGTTTCGGTGGCGGTTTGGGCGGTGGAGGCTTTCCTACACCCGACCTCGGCAGTGGCGGTCCATCCGGTTTTGAGCCCGGGGCTGGGAGCGGGTTCGGGTCGAGTTTTGGCGGGTTTGGCGGTGGCCCATCGGGTTTCGGGGGCGGTGCTGGGGCTGGGTTCGGGTCTACCGTTGGAGGCCTCCCGGGAGGCTCATCGGGTTTCGTACCCGGTGGAGGCGGTGGTGGGATGGGGACTAACTTTGGAGGGTTTGTTGGAGGCTCTTCTTCACAGTTTGGGGGTGTAGGAGCAACTGAAGGTCCATTTGGTACAAGACTTGAAGCTGGCCTCGGCGGTGGCGCCACCCCTGCAGACGACAACGCCAGCAGCGACACCGACAGTAAGACGCCCCCTGCCGCAGAAGTAATCGGCGATGGGATGTAGACTTCACCTATTGATTTATAGATATATATCTCCACATGCATGAGGACAATAGGATTTTCTAATTTGATTTGATCTCAAGGCAAATAATTTGGAACAATATTAATTATTTGTATTAGTACTGTAATAGGCAACCAACAACCAAGCGAATTTCATTGTTGCTGTGTCTTTTTAAGATGTTTATAATTAATGTAACTAGCTGGCTAGCTCTACATATATTATGCACTTCAATGAATGGAAGTTAAGTTTATTACTTGAATAAGTTTTACTACTATATGTTGTTCAATATAGATAATAGATGCAGACTAAAGATGTAGATATAGTTGAGTGTTTTAGTCTTGTCTCACATAATTATATACTTTTATCCTTCTCTTTTTACTTCATATGTGATTTGGGAAACCAAACAGGTCCCTTTTTTAGGTGATGCTTTTTTCAGACTTTAGGTATCTTTAGTCTCTTGAAGGGTAATATTTAGACTGAGAATTGAGATATTATCCAAGATGGCATATTTAGAGACAGCATTCCGATGTAGAATTGACAAATCAAACATTAGTTTTAAAAGGTTCCAAGATTCTTATCAGAACTATTATAGATTTCTCATTTCTAGTGTTGCTTCTATGAAAGGCACATGAATCACCTACAACAAGGGTGTTATGCAAGAAAATTAAGGCCTAAAGTTTGGGGTGTGAATGAATATTAGCCAATGTCATTTATGTCTAGGGATCACCAGAAAGTATCTTCAAGAGGACCTGCGATATTAGCTGGAAGGAAAGTGGGGAATTGAAAGAGGAGATCATATCTTGACATGTGTAAGTGATTCAAATGGAACATCTCCTATATTTAATATTTAAGATTTTCCCCATGTCATTAAGTTCAAGTCATGAAATTGAGAGTATTTTCCCAACCGATGATCCTCTAGCCCCCGAGACTAGCACGAATGATCGTATAATCATTATTTTGTCACTGATGCGCGGTGACATATAGATGATAGTGAGAACCTAACACAATGCTCGAGCGACTCAGATTTATATTTTTAAAGGTTTAGATGGATGGAGAGCTCATGGTTAGTTAACTCCACACTACATTTAGATTCGCTTTAATATTCCTTAGATCTACACTAGCTTGAGCTCAAATACGTATTAGGCTCTCATAAAAGAACCCATTAATTAACTAGTCCAGTTGTAATTAATTAAAATTCTATGGGCCACTTCATCAGCCTAAATAGTTGAACCCATCAAACATCATGAGCTCACCCTTCAACCAAGGTCCACTTACATATGACAAAGATGACCCAAAATAATAATACAGATTTTAATCATCACACTCTTATAGAGAATAGAACATTAACGGACAATATTTCATAAATATATATTTGTAACGGGTACAAGTACGGGAGTACGTCGCGCATGTTATACTGATATCACGGTATAAATATATGTAAATGGATCAAAAGATGAAATTCACATATATAGATGAAATACAACAAGATTTCAATGTGAAAACACACACAATATTTACACCTATGGTTTACCATCAATCCAAACACCTATACCATCACTAAGCTGCTTCAGCAAATCCAACCTTCAAATTCCCGTAGTCGAAAATTGTGTGGTAACGGCCCATAAAAACATCTCCCAATATCCTACACCATTGTCATTAAGAGTATTAGCAACTACTTCTGAGGGTAACTAATTATTTAATTTGTTGATTAGTTGGGGAAATAGAAAAATGTTGGCAGGAAGATATATATCATACCAGAGAGGTCCACGAGGAGGGGGCACATCCAAGGCAGTAAAACCACTTATGCATTGTGCTGCAGAACCCTCGCCCACCTTCAATATGTACTGTGCACATAACCGGTAGCTTAATCAGATATTTAATTATTAAAACTAGATCATATAAGAAATGAAAGGTCATAGAGAAACTGTATGCATAATTGTATACAAATCTATTTTTTTGTTGAGAGATCAGCCGCGGACACAAAGGGGGCAAGTGGGGGGGGCCGATCTCAAATTTTTAAGTAGGTATAATTCCGAAACTTTAATACCGACTATTAGTATGTACTCCCTCCATCCCTTAAAATTTTTCTAACTTTCCTTTTTTGGATGTCCCACTAACTTTGCCACTTTTCCTTTTAAGTAAAGAATTTGTGGTTCCGGTTAATTCTCTCTCCTCTGCACAAATCTCTACCACACAATTTTTACTTTATTAATCCTCGTGCCGGTCAAACATGACAAAGTTTTAAGGTACGGAGGTAGTATAATTTTACACTATCACCCCTTCAGTCGGGAATTCCTGCGTCCACCAGTGCAAATGATAGTATATGGTGATATATGATAGTAATGTGGGGTGCCTTCAAGAGTAGAGACATCAAGATATTGCATACAATTCACATGCATCATGGAAGCAAACAAGAAACTAAGGAAAGCATACCTCATCCGCAGAGAGATCAAAGACCCTTCCACCAATGGAGAAGGAAACAGTAGGCATGGAGGAAAGCCTTTCACAGTCAACACCCGATTCTCCCATTGGGCTTGGTAGCCGATCACAGAGCTGTATTTTCATTATTAATGAGGTTAAATCCGAAAATGAAAAGATCTTATATGTTGTGTAGTTATTTTATGTTTAGCCAATGTGGAACGATCTAGGTGAAGACATGGTGTCAATCAAAGAAACCATAACCGCGATCTAATACCTTAATGAAACTTAGAGCTCCATCCACAAAGGTAAAACTCAAACTTATAGGATGAGTAATTTATGATCTTATGTTGGACTGTCGTTATATTACTTTACATTTGATCAATGTGGGATAAACTCAGCATCATTTGTTCGGTTCCTTATGATAGAAAGTACTCGTTCTTGGTTGTAATAGAATTATAGAAATCGGCTGTGATGTAGCTGAGGTGGGTAGTTATTAACGAGGTAGTGATCCAGGGTTAATGCCAAATAATAAAGACAATAAAGAAAAACCATGTTCTTTCGCATATCTTCAGTAAAAGTGGTTAGACTTATCAAACTTTTGCGGATACAGTGTATAATTGCAAAACCTGCGATATGTTCAACGCATACTGCGCGAAATGAGATCATACAAAATACGGTTGGTAATTGGCATGGTAGGATCCTAATAAAGAGATTTTTTTACCTCACTGACATAAGACAAAATGTTGTCTTGAGTCTGGTTTTGACTGAGTTGGTTCTGCATCCAAACAACAGCCATTTCACAAGCAGAACACCTTGCATCATGCAATCTGCCGAGTATTCCATCGTTCTCATCCACTACACTTTCAATTTCCATACTGCCCTCAAACAAGAGAATCCAACAAATAAATATATAAATATGCATGTGAAGTTTATGAACAGCACAACAACCACACATGGGACAGGAATGAAACCAAACCTGACACCGCGATTCCCGTCAAAGGCACATAGCCCAATTTGTGAGCAGATCTTCTTTGGGCGGGCCTGCGAATTCATCATCGACTTCTATAAATTATTAGTAAAGTGTGCAAATATATAGCAAATGTGTTAAGTGTATGATAAGATATACCTGCATTACAAGCAAATCTAACATTTTTTGTCCATAATTATCAACCACAGTTTTGCATTCTTTGCTGACTACTCCCTCAGCTCCAATGGCATGATTGATCATTGTTATAATAGACTGCACATCAACAATAGGAAAAGGGTTGGCAGAAGTAAGCACCAGATAGACTATTCAAACTGCCAATAGCATAACCATGATGAATTCAGAAAACAAGTTGAATTTTTATAATAATTATATTATAGTGACTACCTAAGAGCATTGAGAGAGAAAAAACTGCTGATATGAATGATAAATATTGCAAATATTCATTAAAAAGAAGAAGATGCTTATATATAAACACTAAGGTTATGCTTTAATCAATGAGTTTCAGGGTTTCATGTTGAGTTCTGGCTCCTAACTCACAATAGGTAACGTTGTTATTTTCTTTTGTTTGATTTGTTTTGACCTTATAATCAAATTTCTTTTAAAGAGAAATCAAATGACTACCGTTGGACCAGCTACAAGAGAAGTCCCAGAATCTGCTATTGCTGAACATCCTTTGTCACAGTACCCTACAGATAATATGTAAATGTCCTTCAGCTAAGGAATACATTTATTGATGATCGATCCTATCCTACAATTGGAACAGGGAAAAGAGGACAGGAAGAAAGGAAAAGAAAGAACATATATACCAGTAGGTTTGCCACCGATTAGAACATCACCCATATCAAATTGCCAATAACCTTTCTTTGACACTGGAACATACGTGTGTTGCCCTTTATAGTGTTTCGGGTCAGCGCCACCGAACACAATCTCTCCCCCTTCTTCTGCTCCGACCTTTCGGTTAAGCCAAAATGAGAACACAGGGTCCTTAACTAACCCTTGCTTCACCATGTTATACCTGTCAACAAATTGACAAAATATATACTCTCCATATTGTAATGCATACTAATTTCTAACTCAAAATATATAAAAAATCCCACTAGGTTTTGCTCATCATACCAAACAGGAACAGAATCTCCAACTGAGATCTCTTGGAATCCAAGACCCAATATTCCATCAAACTTTGCCACTAAAAAGGTCACCCCTGGCTCACTTGTTGCCTCAATAAATTCCTGCATCATGCCATTCCTACTCTCAGGTTTGTAACATTTCAATTTCACAACATTAAGGCCTAGAAATCCAACAGTCCCAAATTTACCTGATTTTTAACAAGAAGATCACCAATTTTAACATGATCTTGACTGACAAAACCAGCTATTTGTCCAGTTCCATAATGAATTTCAGCACGTTTACCTATGAAGCAGCAGTTGGCATTCACACAAAGTTAAAGAGAATTACTTATGAGCTATGACAGGCTTGGTATATTAAGTTATTCCACATTGGCCTAAAATAAAGATACAAACTACGGGCTACTCCAAAGAAGCCCAACTCTTAATATGATATTAAGTTACTTAAGTTACAATTAAATTCTAGTAAGTCTTAACTCCTGCTCACCTAGCACACGAAAGATGGGTTTGCTTTATTGAGCCATCATTTTTAGGTGGGCGATTTATTTTATCTCTCACAGGACAAGTATATAGATACAAATTAACATATAAGCAATTGTGCTACTCACACTATTTGGCTAAAATGATTGAATCTGCTTTTTTAATAAATATTTAACATCCAAGTTACTGAGCATGAGATAAACACATACCATTCGGCTGGTATGTACTGGATTGGCTAGAAGAGTACTTGGAGTGGAACAAACACGAGACCTGCAACAACAACGACAACAAAAAAACGAGCATACCTTAGAAATTCAATGTCCCGACCAGACGGTGTTTTATATTTGTATGGATTAATCTGGATGGAGAGTTGTGTTAAGAAAGTGCTTACCGACATAAAACACTTTGAGGAGGGAACCCATAAGTTAGAGCTTCCAGTATCAAAGATAACAGTAAACTTCTGAGGAGGAGTTCCAACACCAATCTCACCAAAATATTGTGCATCCATGTAATTCTTCAGTGCAACCATGTCTGTTTTATCATCTGCATCATGACCACCAACCAAGTTATACTTTCTTGCCGACCCCCTCAGAGGGTCTCCACCTTTGTTCTCGAGCTGTGAGGCAACCCTGCTGTTCTTATCAATTTTCACCTTTTTCAACCCAATTCGGACAAACCCATCATCTGATTCGGAGTAGACGAGCGAAAAGAGAAGTGCCGAAAGGAACAGAGTGGCTAGTAAGGGTTTCAGTCCCATTTCTTTACCTGTACACAATTCAAGATATCAAAAACTCATACCCAAAACTGCCAGAAAGTCAGAAACAGTACTCACAGCAATGCAAATATTCAAATTTCAAAGTGGCATGCATGCAACATTGAAACTATTCATACTATAGAAGGTTCAAAGATCACAACTTTTTCTTTTTAAAATCAAGAATCAATCAATAGATCACTGATTCTAGTTGTGCGAGCATAATTTATTAACAAATAACAAAGTTACACGGAAAAGGAACCAAAATGAGCATCGTACGAGTTACAAGTACTCAGAGAATCGTGAAGCAGAAGAGGAAGTAATCTATTTAGATTTTAGAGAATATGAACTGCTGCTCAAATATGGAGTTGAGTGTGTGTTTATATAGACTACCAAATAATTGAACTAAACAAACAAACAAATACTCCGTATATAAAGAGAATATATAAAAGAGAGAATGGTTGAATGTGAAGCTACTAATACTATACGCTTAATTGTCCGGTCTGGTGAATTATGAGATGGGGGGTCTATAACTTTTGGATCCTCTTAATAATAAATTAAATCTTGGCCGGCCATTAAATTAAAAAGATCATAAATTAAGGTGGAAAAAACAAGAGAGTATGATGCGGATAAGCATGGGAAATGGGGGAGGGAAAGGCGTAACCGAATCCTTGCGTGTGCGAAGTAGGCCTAGCGTGACCCTTGCACGCATCAATTGCTTCCGAAGCACGGAGTTGGAAAACCTGTACGTTATGCCCCGGCCTTTTTCTTTTTATACTTCCTATTAATTTTCTTTTTCTTATATATAAACCTGTTAATTCTCGACCCACAGTTTTCTTGTTATTTCCATATCAGTTAAATTTGATAAAATTATAGAGAGACAAAATAAGTATGTGACAAATTTTATTTTATGTATAATACATTATCTATGACAATCAATTAAAATGTTGTAATTGAATAATTTAAATACGGAGTATAAATTATGGTCATACATGCACCAATAAAGTGCATTATATTACTACTCAATTACTCCATCCGTTCTTTTTTATTTGTCCTTCTTTTCTTTTTGAGACGTTTTTTTATTTGTCCTCCTTTCCCTTTAAGTAAGGGAAAGTTTTTGAGAAAATACCTTCACTTTTATTACTTTTACCTCACTTACTTTTTACAAACTACTTTCTCTTTCCTACTTTACCATGACTTTACTCTTTTTAATATACTCTCTTTCCTACTTTATCATCACTTTACTCTTTTTAATATAGCATCTTTCCTACTTTATCATTTACCTTACACACTCTATACTTACCCTACTACTTTATTATTAAAACCCGTGACAAATTCTAAGAGGACTACTAAAAAAGAACAGAGAGAGTATTATACATTCACTTAGTAGTATATGATTATGATACACTCAATTATTATGTGAAATTATTACAGAATCAAAGAAGTTATGTGAAATAGTTGAATTTAAAAAGTTGTCTACGAATACCGTTACATATTTGGAGGGCTAGGAGGCTTCCCGCTGGAACGGTTAAAATACAAGTTTGTATCAAAACCTGCACTGGGTCGGGAGCTTCATTCTGGTTGACCGCTTTGACCATCGCCCTAATCCTCACCTTGCCCGCCGCCTCGACCATTGTTAAATGTCTCACACCGGAAAATTGAGAAGCATTAGAGTGTTATATTAAGCTTCGGGCTACTCCTCCTAACAGGTTGACCTTTTAGGATGGAACCCCGGATCTTAACATGGTATCAGAGTCAAATTGATCCATGGTGTGGGGCCCCTTATGAAAAATGACGAACCGATGAAAAAATGAATGACGACATGATCCAGACGAAGTGTCTGGTCGTGAGGAGGGTGTTAAATTTCCCACACCGGAAAATTGAGAAGCATTAGAGTGCTATATTAAACTTCGAGCTACTTCTCCTAACAGGTTGACCTTTTAGGATGGAACCCCGGATCTTAATAATCTGGATTGTCTAGGAGTCAAAAATTATTGTCCAGATTAATAATACGGCATAAAATGCATTTGGGGCAGCATTTCCGGATATGGTGGGGTAGGTGTGAACCCCATGCCCATGTTAGTCATGTATGATGTATGATTGCATTTGGGGCGACATCTAGAGATGCATATAGGGATGCATTGAAGACAGCCATGTAGCAAAGAATGCATTCATTAGCTCCCATTTTTTCCTTTCTCTCTTCAAATCATCTTCACATATTTCTCATTCTCTTTGCAAATCCTTCTCAAGTTGGGTCACCCGCTCTTCACTAGCCGCCAACCGAGAAGATGAACCAGCGCGCCCCTCTAGAATTTTTAAAAATGCGATGAGATTGAGATCCCATACACGGAACCCGACCTTTGACCACACTTGCCGCCGTCATGTAGACATCAACATCTTCTTCACGTACTACCAATTTCTTCAGCTTCCGAATCACTTAGTTTGGCGATCTTATTCAATTTATCTTCTTCATATAGTTCTTCATCCACTACAAAAAAAAATCGCTATAGGCAAGGAATTTGGCACGGAATCCTTCAGAATATTCCCAGACTAACGGGTTTGGCTCGGTTTTGGCTCGGAACAATTTTCCCAGCCACCCAGCTCGAGCCAAATGTATTGGCACGGAATTTTTAATCCGTTCCAACTTTGGCACGGTCTTTGGCTATGCTTTTACAGGACCAATTTGTCAATATAATCTGATGTGTTTGTCTCAGATTCATTCCGTGCCAACTTGGCTCGGATTATGCCGTCACAATATAGATTATTTTGGCACGGATTTGGTTCGAAATTGGCTCGGAAATGTAACGTCTACATTTTGGCACGGACGTTGGCTCGGTTTTGGCTCGAATAAAGTAACGGCTATTTTTGAAGCAACATTTGCCTCGGATAAAAGTTCAATGAAGCAAACGACTACTTTTTTGGCACGGATTTTGGCTCGATTTTGGCTTGAATTAGCAACGGCTATTTTTTGACTCAACATTTGGCTCGGGAAATATTCGAGGAATCCAACGGATACTTTTTTGGCACGGAATTTGGCTCGAGGTTGTCGTCAACGCGTAATGACTAATATTTGGTTCAACAATTGACTAGGATTTTGGCTCGGTATATGTTGGCTAGGAAACTTCCGAGCCAAATCAAACTAATTGTGTTTTTTATTTTGGCACGGAAATTATTCCGACACAAATTGTGACGGTTTTTGGGACGGAATACGTCACCGGCGAAAACGTTTTACAATTTATCGGGATTGGCACGGATTTTGTCTCGGAATATTAAAATCCACATTTTGGCTGGGTTTTTTTGGAGCCAAATCTGTCACAGTCCCATGTTTCAAGGTTTTCGAGCCAAATTCCGAGCCAAACCTGGTTGGGAGTTTGTCCGAGCCAAATTTCCGTGCCTATACCGAAGTTTTTTGGTAGTGATCTACAAATACATAAACTAATTATATTATGACTTTAAAATTTATTTAGTGATTTATTGTAAATTTATATAATTAACCCTATGACTATTATGAGTTGATGAATCATGAATATTGATTTTACCACTTTTCTTTCATACACAACAATAGGTGCACGCCCCCTACGCCATTGGGTCTCCTTCGCTTTATCACAATTCCGGTTTTTTGTACCGGCTCCGCTTCATTTCTGAAAGCTCGGATCAGTTGCCCTTGGAGATATAATTTGGCCTTGGAGATATAATTTGGCCTTGGAGATATAATTTGGAGATATAATGATGTACAAGTCTATTCCAAATGTCCTTGGAGATATAATTTTGTTGGGGAAAACACGACCCCCGACCTCATCCAGGATCACGATCTCAAATGACTCCTGTACATTCACTCACTCACTCGTAATACAAAGATTCAATCTAACAATATCACTTTGTATTATACAATTGAAATGTACAAGAGATATTTTACAAGTAAACGGGTAGCTCACTTCACTCTTTGTATATGAGACTACTTCACTCACACACACACCTCTCTCAAGGAAGCACTCACTCACTCAAGAGCTCTCCTCAAAGCTCTCTCTCTTTCATCACTTGAGGAGACTCTCTCTAGGTTCTCTCTCTAGGCCCTCACATGGCTCTCTCACTAAGCTCTCTCATTTAGGAATGAGGAATCTCACCCCTATTTATACAACTCATCTCAAAGCTTCTCTAGAACTTTCTTTACATCACTACATTTCTAGATTCTTCCAAGAACTATCCACAAGCTTCTCTAATCTTCTAGAAGGATCTAGAGAACTCCACATCGCTTGAGAATGTTCTAGAGGCTTCCACAAACTTCCGCACGACTCTAGAGAATTCCACATTTCTCTAGAAAACTCCACAATGTTCTAGAATATTCTACACTCTTCCACACGCTTCTAGATAATTCCACGTCTCTCTAGAAAGCTCCGGAATATTCTAGAACATTCAATATTTCTCTACACACATCTAGAGAAACCTAGACATCTCCGCAATATTCTAGAATTCTCATTAACTTCTCAATTAAGGAGGGAACCCAACAAATTTGTCCTTCTATTTTGACCTTGTGCGTGTCATGAGAAACCATCCAATCAGAGACCCTTGAATGATGTTTTTCCTTATTTCATTGACTTCTTTAATATCCACCGATGTTCACGCTTCATTATAAAAATTATGTATTATTAAAAATATCTTTTGAATTGCTACAAAATTATTCATAATTTGATTAATTTTACCTTGAACATTTTCCACCATAATTCACGAGTTTCCTTATCTATTTGCCCGTAATTAACCCATGCGCCATGGAAGTGACCGGCAACAATTCGTTTGATCTTATCCAAGACAATGGGATCACTTAAAAACAATTAAATGTATTAATTTTTATTTTTTGTGATTATAAAGTTTTAAATGAAGATAGATGAGGAAAATTATTTACCCACGAACGTCTTAGGCTGAGAAGACGTACTCGCGCCACCTTGTGCATGTGAGGTGCTCGGGCCACCTGTGACAAAGTTCGTGACAATTAACTAACTACATTGTCTATATAAATTATAAATAGGCGGCACATGGCCCATTTGTTGAAATATTTAGTAAAAACAGTGTTGTCTGGATTTTTTATTTATTTAAAATATACCTCAAAATATAGATAAGAATTCTCAATCACCCGATTGAGTCACCCTGGAAAAGAAAATCGATCATTTGAGCGAAATAGTGAAATTAATGAAATCAGTTGAAGTTGAAAACGAAAAAAAGATTATTAATGTTTTACCAATCCATGTTGAAAATTATGGTGACGAATCAAGCACGGCATAGAGGAAAAGATGTAGAGAAAACATGCAAATAAGCTCTCGAACTATTTGCTTTTTGCAATCAGGCCCTTGAATCGGAAGAATTACAAATGCACCCCTCAGTGGCGGATCCAGGAATTTTTCTTATTGGGGGCAGAGTAATTAAAAAATCTAATGCAAAAAAAATTGAAAGTAGAAAATAAAATTTAATAAAGTATCAATGTAATATTACAATAGTAAACAGTTTTATTAACAAAATACATGGCAATGGTTCACACTACGAGATTTAACGAAAGCTCATCCAAATCAACTTTTTCATGTATTGATGGACATTGAGAACCACTATTAGAAACATAAATTATTATTTGAACAATGATGTAGGAATTGTAATCCAATATCTTTTTATTGTGAGTGCAAAAAGAAGTGAAATTAAAATTATACGTAGTACTAATACATTAGTACATAGTATATTTTATTTAACAATACAAAAATAACATAAAGAGTATTATTTACATTTAGGATTTTTAATTTAGTAAATGAATTTTTTCTTCTAGTGTACAAAAACATTAAACATTTACACTCTAATAGATGTACAACTATTCCACTAAGTCCAGGGGAGGATCTATGTATAGGCTATAGTGGGCTGAAGCCCAGGGCAACTTCAAATTTTTTCAAAATTTTAAGTGTAAATTTTTAAAATTTTCATATTAGCTCACCCCGCTAATGTTAAAATCTAGTATAATTTATTTTCAGCCCAGGGCATTCCGGAATCCTGGATCCGCCCCTGACTAAGTCCTTTAAAAAAAAAACTATTCCACTAAGTCATCAATTTAAATAAAAATAATTTTTGTAAATCAATAATATGATAATAAATTAATAGAATTATAATGAGTTTAATCACATTATTTAATATTTATAAAAATTATATTCATATAAAATTAAAAAATGCATAGCCTTAAACAAGGAAAAAACAAAATGAACACATAGGGAAGACTAACCGACTAAACAACTAAACAAGTAAGGATGTTTTTACTTGGACTGTAATTTGCTGGTCTGGTCTGGTCTGGTCTGGTCTGAACTGGTCTGGTCTGGTCTGGTAAGGTCTGGTTTCTTTGTATTTTTTTAACTATCCAAGTCTGGTCTGGTCTGGTCTGGTCTGAACTGGTCTGGTCTGGTCTGGACTGGTCTGGTCTGGTCTGGACTGGGGCAAATTACAGTCCAAGTAAAAACATCCTAACAGGAAAATTAAATTAGGCAACAATCTACCATCAAAATGATTATTTGGTATGGCTCGGAATGATTTTTTAAAAATAAAGTGAAAAGGTGTCAGGCTAAACTCCTTTGAGTCTTCCGCCTCTTCGTAGGCTTGTCTGCCTCTTCCGTTATTGGGGGCAAACAAATTTTTTACTCGGGACAAATATAATGGTTTTTTAATATTTATCAAGGAATTAGGGTCTGTTTGCAACTGCTTTTAAAAAAGCACTTCTCAGTTTTTGGCTTTAAAAAAACACTTATTTTCCCAAACACTACAACTTTTATTTTTCTCGGCTTCCGCGTCAAAAGTGCTTTTACCTTTTCTATTACACAAAAAGCACTTATTTTACCAAACACTACCCACTTTTACTTTTCAAAATCACTTTTTTCTCAAACACTATCAACTTTTATTTAATCACTTCTTCCCATTTCATTAAAAAAAGCACTTTTTTAAAAGCAGAAGCTGTTGCAAACAGACCCTTATATGGGTTTACTAGATGTTTATTGGGGGCAGCTGCCCCCCTCCAGCCTTGGTGGATCCGCCCCTGGCACCCCTCAACTTATTGAAAATCAAGCAATCAAGTCCTTTTTACCTGTTGGTGCAGGTAAGAAGATGAAAACTACCGACACCAACGGGTAAAAAAGGACCTGATTGCTTGATTTTCAATGACTTGAGGGGTGTATTTGTAATTCTTTCGGTTCAGGGACCTGATTGCAAAATCACAAATAATTTGAGGACTTATTTACATGTTTTTTCAAAGATGTATACCGCTAACAATGAAAAGTGGTCTTCAATTTAAAGTTATTTGTATTATTTATCAGTAATGTTGTTTGATGAAAAAAAGATGTGCTTTTTGTATTTTTTATTTCAATTGTGTGTCAGATGTAATAATTTTTTATTTCGATAGGGGTGGGCAATTCGATTTACGGTTCGGTTTCGGTTTGTTCAGTTTGGGAGAATTTGTACCAAACTAATACCATTTATGTTTCGGTTTGGTTCCCGTTCGGTTCCGGTTCGGTTCAGTTTGAAGTCCTATTTACCAAAGTAAAAATTATTAGGTTCAATTTAGTTCGATTTGATTCGATTTCTTATGTTTATTATTTTATTTGATCAGGTTCTACATTTAAGAATTATAAAATGAAAGTAGTAGTCCCTCTCATCTTCTTTTATTTATTAGTTAAATGAAATGTAAAAGGAAATAAAAGATAGAAAAAGAAATAATAAAATATTACTGTGTATGAATTAAAACTTCTAACATCTTTTCAATCACTAGAAAAAGATTCACTTCTCATATAAATAAATTCATAGTTGATTAGTATTTATTCAAAGAAAAATAAATGTATCGGGGTGCAAATGTTATAATATTCACAATTTTATTTAAGTGAATCATGTAAAATAATAAATGCAAGTTGCTATTCTTATTGCTATATATCTTTTCATATTGGTAGAGAGTACAAAACATAACGAATACAGATATGTCGTATTAGCGATATATACATATATATTACAAGTTGTTCATTGTTCGGTTCGGTTAACGGTTTTAAACCAAACCAAACCATTCGGTTTGAGCAAATTCCTACCAAACGGTTTACTTAAGTAAAACTAAACCAAACCAAACCATCAATTTTCGGTTCGGTTCGGTTCGGTTCGATCAAACCAAATCATTTTGCCCAGCCCGAATTTTCGAGTTAAATAAAGCAAATAAATTTATAATGTTATTCTCATTTCTATTATTCAGATAACAAAAATATATTAAAAGGAAAATTAGATTTGAACTGATTCCTGGGAGTAACATTTGTTTCAATAAAAAAATCAATACATTAATGTATATAAAATTAGTGATGAAGTTTAATCCAACTACGAGAGCTATATCTACGAGAGCAGATAAAATATGGCAGCGTAAGGCAGTGTTTATTATTCCGGAGTTCGGATCCTTGATAGGAAATATACAGGAAATATTTATAGACTCTAGGAGCTAGTATTCTAGGAGGAAACTGATCCAATAAATGTTATTAATTACATATTAGTCGAATAGAACTCCTGTAACGTCTTGGACGTTGTGCAATGATTGTCTCCTTAAAGTCCACGTTTCTTCCGTTGAGTCTTGCTTGCTGCCAGATAGCTATGCTCAAATGATAGCCCGCCACGTAAGCCCTAGGAATATTCCGGCCTCACTAGAACTCCGCCCAGGCTCAAGGTCTACTGTCCAGCCCGGCCTGATTGTGGATTCTAGGGGCAGGCAAAAATACCGAACCGGCATGCTACCGAACCGGGCCGATATGGTACCGTACCGAATAACGGGGTCCAAATGGTTCTCGAAATTTTTGTCCCGAACCGAACCGTACCGGTTCCAAACCATGCCATGACCGGTTCTCGTAAAATGAGAACCGGTACCAGACCGAACCGCACCGAATTAGTATTTATATAATTAATAATTTATAATTATTGTATATGTATATAATTTGATGACTCCTTCCCGTTTACACTTTGCCACTTTGTATACATTTATGATATTTACTTAATGTTGTATGTGCCTACAGGGGAAGATCTTCATAGGGTGAAGTCCAGCCC